AAGAAGAAGAAGAAGAAGAAGAAGAAGAAGAAGAAGAAGAAGAAGAAGAAGAAGAAGAAGAAGAAGAAGAAGAAGAAGACAACAAAGGTGTTACTTAGGATTAATGCAGGGGAGAAAAAATTGTGAAGCGATCTGAGCAAGTAGTGGAGAATTAAGGTCAAATATTGGGCAGCATATCAGAGATGGATTCTGGGGTCCAAACTACTTTGGCCTATTCCACAAAAAAGGGAAATTCTTATTCTGAGTTATTACCATATGTCAGGGTTACACAATATATTTTACATACATTAGTCTTTGTTGCAAATCTGTGAAGTTCCATTTTATGAATGGGTAGACTGAGGTACAGAAAAAATAACTAATTAACTGAGCTTAGTTGCCTCAAATCACACAGATAGTATGAGAGGGTTCTGGGATTCAAACTCAGCTTTATCTCATTGTACTTTTTTTTTTTCAACCTATTGCTTGGGCCAGATATCCCAGTGCATGACTTCTACTTTCCTTGAAAAGAAAAGATTAAAGATTGCTAACATGTTTATAGAATAGCCTAAATGAAAAGAATTTTACAAAGTTCCCAGAACAGTTTGACTTAGAATCTGAAGTCTGTGCTATAAAAAGCACCCTATAGCTGGGTGAGGTGGTGCAGACTTAGGCAGGAATATTACAAGTTCAAGCCCCAGTCCAGACAGCTTGGCAAGACTCTACCTCAAAATAATTTAAAAGGGAGGAGGGTGCTACTGCACGCTTGCGTGGATCATCCAGCACAGATCTGGCCTTGGACTGCCTCCTTTGTCTACAAGAGCAGAGTCATATTCTGAATTGGACGCTACCACAAATGGTAAAAACCAGAAGATAACCACAGGCTTGAAATGTCAGAGAAATTTCTTTTTATTTTTTTCTTTGCTTTAGGGTTTTTTGGGTTTTGGGGGGTTGTTGCTTTTTATTTTTTTCTTTCCTTCCTATCTTCTTCATCAGTTTTCTGAGGCTTGAATAATCTTTCTTTTTCCTCCAGCATTGATTTTAATCTCTTCCTCTTCTTTTATTTTTCTATTTTTTTCTCCAAGCCTGTTAAACTTTTCTCTCCTTAGGGTAAAAATCACTCTGTTAAGTGATATTTACTGTATATAATTTTCTTTTTTTAATTTATGTATTTGGTACAGGGTCTTGCTACACAGCTCAGATTCCCCAGAACTGGGATTATAGGCATGTGCCACCAGTCCCTGTCTTAGTGGCCCACTTAGTAGGCCCAGGTTGGGGCTGGCATGGCATGTGGTACTGGGGATAGAACTCTGGTCCTTGCTTTTGCCAGGCAGGTGCTTAGACTATTGAGCTATTTTCCTGGCCCCTGCACATAATTTTCTGATTCATCTAGATCTTGTTATATCTCTAGATATATCTATCTATCTATCTATCTATCTATATGTCTTATTATATAGTTGTATATAAGATTTATCTAGATCTTATTATATCTCTAGATATATATAGATATATAGATATATAGATATATCTAGATATACATATCTTGTTATATAGTTGTAAATCTTACACCTATGCTTAATGGCAAAGTAATAGCTATTACAGTTTGTCATTTTCTAGTCTGTAATTGCTACTGTTATTACTGATTATACCACTTCACAAGGAAAAACAGTTGTATGATCTATTGATCCTCCTTGTATGCCAATAGCTAGATTGTCTAGGAGTCACAAACAACACTAAAGAACAGTACCAAAGAACTGGGTGCCAAGCCAAACAAGAAGCAAGAAGTCAAAAGCCAGCTACACCTCTAAAACATCTCTGAAAAACAGTCATTTCCTAAAAGAGGTCTTGGTATTAGTAATAAAGCTGCATACTTTAAGTAATTTATAAGCCTTAATGCAGAAATCAAACAAATAAATGAAAAATAGAAAATGATAAAATATAGAAGCAAAAGGCAACCATAATCCTCAACTTGATCAAGGCAAATCAAGGAGATATTAATGTGGAAGAAATTTAAAAAAAAAAACCTTTCCAGGTATAGTCATGCATGCCTGTAATCCTAACACTCGAGAAAATTACTGCAAGTTAAAGACTAGTCTGGGCCCTGGCTGGCCTCCAAATAGAAGTGATCATCCTGTCTCAGCCTCCAGAATGCTAGGATTATAAACATGTGTCACCATGCTCGGCTTAGACAGTATCTATAATTAAATGATAATACCAATAAAACATACTAGAACTTATGAGACACAATGAAAACAGTTCTAGGAGGGAAATTCATAGCAATGAATTCCCACATAAGAAAGACTGAGTGAGCACAAATAAATAACAATGTTGAACTTCAAGGGCCTAGAAAAAGAACAGCAAGTTAAACCCAAAGTACATATGAGGGAGGAAATTATACAGATTAGAACAGAAATTAATTCAATCAAGACCTAAAAAATGGGGCCGAGGAAATGGCTTATTAGAATAAGTGCTTCCCTGGCAAGCACAAGGGCCTGAGTTCCACCCCTCCCCCCCAAAAAAAAAGACCTGAAAAACAACACAAACATTTGCTGTAGTAAGACCATGCATGTGTCCCCAGACCTAGATCTTTTCCTAGGTCTGGTTTTACAAATGCTGGTGATAAACCAGATCCAAATAATTGGGACTAATACTCAGATTTGTCCAAAGATTGTGTAACCTAAGTTTGGAAATTATGCAATTGACAGTTATCAGTAAATGAACTGTAAATATTTTTACTAATAAAAACAACACAAAAAAATCAGTGAATAACAGAGTTGGCTCTTGGAAACATTAAATAAAATAGACAAACTCTTAGTCAATCTTATTTAAAAAAGGAATGAAAAGACCCAAACCCATGCAATTAGAAATGAAAAGGACAAAATCACAACAGATCCTGCAAAAATTTAGATCATCAATACCTAGTAAACCAGTAGGTCAATTTTCTCAGATACTATGGACAGATTCCTAGATACATATGCATTACCAAAGCTGAATCAATAAGATATAAAAGTTCTAAATAAACCAATATCAGTCAGTGAAATTGAAGAAGTAATTAAAAAAAAATGGCAACAAAGAAAAACCTGGGTCCTCATGGATTCAACACTAAACTCTACCAGAAATTTAGAGAGGATCTAATACCCCTCAAACTCTTTAGTGGAACTGAGTTACAACCAGCTTCATATGTAAACAACAGTTCTTTAATAAAACTGAATGTGAAATTATACTCCTGAACTCATGCCTGGTAACAAGCATTACCCTGATACCAAAACCAAGGCTCCAGTTAAAAAAAAAAAAATCCAATCTCTTTAAAGATCATAGACACAAAAAAATCCTCAATAAGGTACTGACAGACAGGGGCCGGGGATGTAGGTCAGTGGCATAAGTGCCTGCCTGGCAAACGCAAGGTCCCAAGTTTGAGCCCTAGTACTCCACCTCCCAAAAAAAGACACTGACAGACAATGCAGCAAATCATTTAAAAAAAAACAAAAAAAAAACACCATGACCAAATAGGATTCATCCCAGGGATTCAGGGATGAATGCAAGATATGCAAATCAATAAATGTAGTACACCACATTAATAGAACCAAGAATAAAAACCTCATGATCATCTCAATAGATACTGAAAAGGTATTTAGCACAGTCCAACATCCATTCATGATTAAAAAAAACCCATAGAAAATTAGAATAGATGGTCTTTATTTCAATGTGATAAAAGATGTCTATGACAAATCAGCAGCCAGCTTCATACTAAATAGTCAAAAACTGAAAGCTTTCCCTCTAAAATCAGGAATAAGACAAGGATGCACACTATCATTATTCCTGTTCAATATAGTTGTGAAAGTATTAGCCAGAGCAATTAAACAAGAGAAACAAATAAAAAGCATATGGATAGGAAGGGAAGAAGTTAAATTATTATTTGTAGACAATGAGATACTTTACATAGAAGACCTCAAAAACTCAACAAAAAAATTCTGAGAATTAATCAAATTCAGTAGCATAGCATGACATAAAATCAATATTCAAAAAACTAATAGCATTCCTGTAAACAAGTAACAAACTTACTGAGAGAAAAATTAGGGAAACAACATCTTTTACAACAGCATCAAGTAAAATGAAATACTTAGGAATCAATGTAACAAAAGAAATGAAAGATATTGTTTGCATTGAAAACTACAGTACTTTGAAAAAGGAGGGGATCAGGGAGATGGCTCAGTGGAATAAGCACTTCCCTGGCGAGCACAAGGGCCTGAGTTCAATCCCTAGTCTCACAAAAAAGAAAGAAAGAAAAAGGAGATGGAAAAGGGTATCAGAAAATGGAAAGATATCCCCTGTTCTTGGATATCTAAATTGGTTCCAAAGCAGAATCAATATAGTAAAAAAAAAAAAAAAAAAAAGACTATGCTTAGTGTAAAGACCATAGATTCAATTCACAGTACTGCCAAAAAATAAAAAAGTACCATTTTATTTTTTTTTTTATTTATTTACTTATTTAATGTATGTGGTACAGGGTCTCACTATACAGCTTGGACTTGTAGTGATCCTCCTGTTTTCAGCCTTCCCAGAGCTGGGATTAGAGAGGTGAGCCATCACACCAGGTCTCAGTGTCCAGCTCAGTGCACTCAGGGGCTGGGTCAGCACAGTATGTGGTGCCAGGGATCAAACCTGGTCCCAGCACTTGCGAAAGCAGGTGCTCAGTCTGCTGAGATATCCAGCACCACCATTTTAACTGTCTATCATTTTTACTCACCTCTCTCAGGCAAACCAAAACAGCATTCTATCCACAATGCCTCTCAGACTACATAATGAGATCCTGTACCTATATCTCTTTTTTTAATTCTAGTTCACTTAAAAATGACCCTACACTGGATGCAATGGTATCTTTTTTTTTTTTAACTTTCTTTTTTTTTTTTTTTCCAAAGTTTTATTGACAAACAGATAGCAATGAGACAGTTTCAAATCATATCGGAAGGACAGTTTCAACAAATAATACACTGCATATATTCTTCTTAGTGGTTAATTGCTGTACAAGATGCGGACTTGTGATCCTATTTACAAACACCATTAGAACAAATCATTCTATTCATTAAGAGAATGCAACTATATATCTATCCCAACCACTTTGAATACACAGATACAAAATGGACATTCATCGGTATACCCCATTTTTTCTAAGTTCCGTTATTGAATATTATAGGTGTGTAAACTCAGCAAAATATTTTAAAAGAGTCCAGTAGCCTATAATAGCATTGGGTCTTATATTTAACTGGCAATGTCAGAAATTATTGACCTGAGTCCTGCAATGGTATCTTAACATTGTCCTAGCACTCAGGAGGCTGAGGTAGGAAGATTGAGTTTGAGGGCAGCCTATGCTACAGAAGGAGTTTAAGACCAGCACAGACTACATAATGATACATTTTCTCAAAACAGCTGGCACTGCAGTGGCATCTGTCTCACTATGACATTTATGGAAGCCAAAGGGAGGACCCAAGGACCTGGAAGCTAGGAAATAGACTGGGTGATCCTTGAGGATTTGGTGTGAACTTCCCTCAGGAGGAGTGGATTTTACTGGATGCTTTCCAGGAGAATCTATACAGAGATGTAACACAGGACACTATTAGTAATCTGGCCTTTGTAGAAGACATCTGGTAGAGAGACTCTGGGAAAGGGTAGAAGGTGATCAGTGAGCAGAAACTATTTTTTGGTGGTACTGAGGAATGAAGCCTGGGCCCTTGTTCATGCAAAGCAAGAGCTCTACCGCTGAGCTGCATCCCCAGCCCAGTGGAAACTTTCTGTCAGATTCCAGATCTCAGTCTCGCCAAGAAAACTCTCGTTATAAAATCCTGTGAATACAGTGTATGTGGGGAAGTATCCATTGGTCATCCCTTCATAGATGGAGAGCTCATACTGAATGCAAACCATGTGAGCATGAGCATGAGAGGATGGAAAGAAGGCATGTCTTTCATAACACAAGCAATATGAAAATGCCTTCCTTTAAAACTTCTGAGGGAACTCACACTGAACTCACTGAAGATAAATCCTTTCACACCATAGATATAGACCTTACAATTCTAAGATATGTGGGTATGTGGCAAAGCCTTTTATTCTTCCAGTTCTTTTCAAATAAACACCAAAAAAAAAAAAAATCACACTGGAGAGAAACCTAATAAATTTAAGCATATGATAAGAATCTAAGTACTTTCAAAGCCTTTTAAATGCACAAAAGAACTTATATCAGAGAGAAACCCCATGAATATGAAGAATTTGAGAAAGCTTTCAACTGTTCCAGTACTTTTCAAAGACACAAAAGAACTCATACTAGAAGAAAATCATACAAGTGCAACAAGTGTGGTAAGACCTTAGGGAAGTTCAGTTCTTCTTGAACACATGGAAGGAGGCATACAAGGACAAACACATACTGTAAATATGAGGAATGTTGGAAAACTTTCTTTTCTCTCTCATCTTTTCAGGGCACATGATAATGCACACTGGAGATGGACTTAAAAATGCAAAGAATGTGTAAAAACATTTATTAGTTTTAGTGCATTTCAAATACATGAAGGACTCACACTGGAAAGAAGCCATATGAATGTAAGGAATACAGGAAAACCTTCACTTGTCTCAGTTCCTTTTAAAGACATGGAAAATCTCACACTGTGGAGAAGCCTTATGAGTGTAAGCATTGTGGTAAAACCTCTGTTATTCTTGTTATCTTCAGATTCATAAAAGGTCTGGAGAAAAGCCCTGGAGAGAAGCACTATCTGTATACAATGTGGTAAAGAATTTTGTAGTTCCAGATCCTTTCAGGTTCATAAAAGAACTCAAAAACACAGAAAGAAACTCTGTGAATGTGGGAAAGCCTTCAGTTATCAAAATTCATTTAAAAGATATGAGAGAGGTTGGCAAGATAGCTCAGAAGACTAAAAGTTCCTGGTTAGGCAAGCTTAAGCAAGCTCAGGGACCACCATTGGATCCCCAGAACCACATGCTATGCCAGCCTGGCCTCTAGGGCTGAATGAGTTGGCAGAGTCCTGGAGTGGTGGCCCACAACTGAAATCCCAGTGCTAGGGAGGATGAAAGCAGGAAGATCACCATGAGTCTAAGCTCTGTAGTGAGACGCTGCAACAACCAAATACGAGAGAGAGAGAGAGAGAGAGAGAGAGAGAGAGAGAGAGAGAGAGAGAGAGAATGAGAATGAATTTACATGGAGAGAGACCCTATGAATGTACAAAATGTGGTAAAAGCCTTTGGGGATTGCAATTCCCTTCAAATATACGAAAGAAATCATACTGGAAAAAAAACATGAATGTCAAAAATGTGTTGAAGTTTTAGTAGTTCCAATTCCTCTCAAAGACATAAAATAATCCATACTGGCAAGAAACACTATGTATGTCAAGAATGTGGAAAATTTTTCAGTTGTTCCAGTACCTTTCAAAAATGTGCAAGGACTCAAGCTGGAAAAAAATTTCTATATGTATATAAAGTGTGAGAAAGCCAGTCCAGTCAATCCAATAACTTTCAGTATAAGTACCGCGCGCTAACCGATTGTGCCACTGGAGCTCCAATCCAGTAACTTTCAAATACATCAAAGATCTCATTTTGAAGGAAAAACTGCCCAAATGTAATAA